TCTCTTTCCTGCAGTTGAAACCACTGTCGAGGTGGCACTGAGGTTTCCTCTAAGACAGTGATTCTCAACTTAGGTGTACACTTACAGCTGGAGTGCTTTTAAAAAGCCTGACGCCCAAGCCACATTTCAGATGAATTAAATCAAGTTTGAGAACCACTGCTCTAACACCTCCCCCGGCACTGGTGTTTGTGGTCAGGGGACTACAAGGAGGGAGTGTGCCCATCAGACAGGGAGATGAGTGAGTGGAGAAGTGGAGGGTACTGAGGTGACATTCTCCAACCTAAAAAGGTGCCAATGACCACCACTAGGAAAGTAAGCTTGGAAATCATTTCCTTCGATATTCCAACCTCTCATGGGTATAACAGTACTTTTCAGGGAACCACAGACTGTCAGAGCCATAGAGATCACAGGAACCTTAAAGATCATCTGTCTCATCCTACTCCATCATATGCTTGGGTAAGCTGAGGCCCAGGGAAGGGAAGTGACTGGTCGGGGTCATGGTGAGTTTAGTGGAGGGCCAGGATTAGAACCCATTTCTTCTAACTTAATCCAAGGCCTTTTAATCATTATATGCTCAACAAAGCAGTATGGCTTAGTGATGATGAAAACAGGCTAGAGTCCCAGCTCCACAGGTTGGCTCTGTCAAAGTGGGCAAGTCATTTAACTCCCCTGAGCCTTGATTTTCTCAGAGCCCTGGTGGTGCCAGTGGTTAAGCGTTGGGCTGCTAACCAAAAGGTCAGCAGTTCAAATCCACCAGCCGCCCCTTGGAAACTCTATGGGGCAGTTCTACTCTGTCAGGATCGCAACGAGTTGGAATCAACTTGACGGCAACGGGTTTTATAAAGTGGAGACAGTAACAGCATTTCCTCAGAGACTTGTGAGAACTAAAAAAAGAGAAAATGAACACCCTAAGTGAGAATAAGAAAGAGTAGGTAGTATAGCTATTTGGTCTGAGGTTAATTTTCAGATTGTCCTAGCAGCTTCAAGATACTGTTACGACACTTTCAAAGACTTCTCAAGTAGTGGCAGTTCTGAGTCAGAACCAGATTTGCTATCAGCTCTGAACTAAAGGGTGTCATAACCTCTGACTATCCCCACCTGCCTAACAAATGAAGAAATGACCATGAATACCTTCTGTATGCTGAAAGTGCTGTACAAATGCAATATGTGTATTATTACTCTTAATAATGATATTCACCATCGTCATCATCACCATCCAATCCATCTCAGCCATTCTGAACTTTGCTATCATATCCCTTGAAAGGCCTGGCAACCGAGTAGGCAGCAGGGCAAGGTCACTTAGAGAAATCCTAACATTTAGTCATAATATCCAAATGGAAAGAAAGCAAAGAGGTAGGGAGGTGAAAAACAAGATTAATCTTGGCTCTAGTATCCATCAAAAAATGAAATCTCGTGTGAAATGCCCCAAGCAGAGAGAAACAGAAGCAGGTCTCCTAAAACACGAGACTCAGGCCTTTGCGAGGCTGCAGGTGTGCCTTCCACAAGAGGCAGAGGTGTGTCCACTGCAGAGGATTGGATGATACCAAAATCCTTTTCTAAAAACAGCCATAAAACTTGAACGCCTTGTTTCTTGGATTACTCGAAATGGTTGAGGGATGAGCACAGGGTTTTGGAGACATGAGAGGGATTTTCTCTTTTTACTTTGTAAATTACAGAGAAATGTTTTGTTTTGTTTTTTTTTTTATGAGCACATTTTTAATATTAGGAAAGGAAGGAAGGGGAAGAGGGAAGCAGTAAGCAGTATAAGGATTAAAGAATTACACAGATAGAAAATTCAACACCTATTCATTCACAAATTCTCTCTGATAAGGTGTGGTACCTCTGAAGACTCAAAAAGCTAAGGAAGGAACACCTTCCCCAGAGTTATCTAAGCAGATGGATCCCTGAGAGGCCAGGCTGCGGGGCCTAGTCATTGGGGTTTCCTCCCCCCGGCCAGCCCATCTCCATCTTCCACCTCCAGCATCTGCTCGAGTTACCTGCCAAAGACCTAAGAACTGTAACCCTAAACAGGAATAGTATCTTCCTGCTTACACTGTGCCTCATTCTTGTCTTTTAAAAAGAGAGAGAGAAACTAGCCTTCCCCCACCACCCTCCCAAAACAAAACCTACTTCAAATGCAGGCTTTCCCTGCCGCATGTAGATACTACCAACCTCAAAATTCTTACAGGCTAGTGTGAAAAGCACTGTTACTTCAGATCTCTTCCCAGACATACGCCCCTCCCTCTGATTCCTTCAGACCTCTTTTCTTTTGTACACTACAGGTAACTCAAGACTAGCTACTGTGACAGATAATGCCCCATCCCTGGCTAGTCTGAGTCCTTCATTCAACAACAATACTGAGCCCAAACAACACCTCAGAGAAGTTCTGAACTGCACCAAAAGGCAGACAGGCAAGAAAAGGGCTGACTGTATATATAAGTGCTAAAAAAAAAAAAGATACGTATGATCTGAATTACATTGCCCTAAAGTGTTAATTCAGTTAAAACCACAAATGAAGAAGATTCTCAGAGATTTCTTTCGGCAAAGAGGTCACTTATGTGTCCTGAATTTCTCTGTTCACCATCTCCCACCTATTACTCAGCAGATTTTTCAAATCACTGTATCTATAAAAAGAGGATAACTGCCTCTTACCCCCATCTTGGAAGCATTGAGGGAATGAGAGTTTATAGGAAATGCTTTGGGAATTAACACACACACACACACAAACACACACACACACACACACACTCACTCTCTCTCTCTCAGATTCAACTATCCATAACCTGAAAGATACGACATTAAGCATTCAGCTGTTTCTACCCAGGTGTCAGGGGACAGAAGGAAGAGGGAAAGACTAGAACTCCTTATGAATTTTCTTGAGAGACTGTCAATGTATCTATCCAAACCAGTCTCAGAATATGTTTTAGGATTGAATTTTCTCAAAGGCCACATCTGGGCCGCATCGTCTCTACAAGCTGTAGTACAGTACAAGGGCCACAGTGCACAGTGAGCACCTGGTATACCACTGTAAGCTGTTACTTCCTCTGAAAACACTCTTACCTGCAGCCTCCTACTCTCTGCCCATCCTGACTACTGCTTCATATAGGCTAAAGAGAATGTGCAAAAAGATTCCTCTGGGGCCAGCGAATCCCACCTACTCAAGCAACCAGGCCACTGGAAAAACCACCTCTGTTTCCACTCCTGAAAGTGCTGCTTAGAAATCATTAACTCTAAGTCAGTAACAGTTATAGTTAGTTAGGGCTTGTAACTGTTCATGTGAATTATCCTTCAGGCTTACGAGGGAACAATTAACTATACACACCCCCTTTCCCTACCTCACCCATCCTGTTCCCTCTTACAGGACGTGGACTTGGTGCCAAAGGCTCAGCCTGGAATGTTGCAGGGCTTCAAGTTCCATATGAAGGAGTGAACCGTCTCCCCACGTAGCTCAGCTCAGCCAGGCTGGGGAAGACACTCGATGGCTTAGAGAAAACGCTTTCCTACACCCCTCATCCTCATGTTGAACATATGTGGCAGTCTTCAAAAACACAGATAAGCCCAGACGTCTCCAAGAAAAGCCACGGACGAAATCAAACCCCAGGTTCTCTGGCCTGTTGTGAACTGTGACCGTCCACCGTGTCTTAATCCCATCAGGCCTTCAGACTAGAATTAAATCTGGCAGCCAGAGGAGGCACTGGCCGTCCCTACGTCAACTCACAAGTTAAGGTTGTGTCACAAAGACATTTTCATTTAATAACACTGCCCACCAGAAACTCTGAATGTATCTAAACCTTTCCTGAATCTGCATTTTTAATCTTCCAAATATGTTAAGGAAGACCTGAATACCTGCTATAAATGCCCTTTCTTCTTCCTAAATTTATCCTTCCATCTTCTAGGGACCACCCTAGGGATTGAAAGAATAAGTTTATGTCCTTCCTAAGCAAACCGAAGAAAAAAAAATATCCCATCTCTTTTGTCTGACCTCAAACAGTAGCCTCGCCTGCCCATGGTTCTTTTGTTACAGTGAATTGGGGGTCAGAATACCTGGGTTCTATACTAGCACTGCACTGGGGGTCAGAATACCTGGGTTCTATACTAGCACTGCATTGGGGGTCGGAATACCTGGGTTCTATACTAGC